CACAGCCCAACATCCCAATCCAACATCAAACCGCAATCTCGAGTAAGAAAAACAAAGCTAAACATTCGAATATACAAACAGCAAGAGAATTCTGCATTTTCGGCAGATGGTTTCAGCAATGAGACTTGCTGCATTTTTTTCAACCTCTGATTTCTAATCCCAGCTTTGATTAGATATTTTCAACCCCAACATCACAGCTCTCTTTTTCTTGCCGTTTCCTTTCTTCTGTTTTTCTTTCTTTTTTTTTTTTCCAGATTTGCAGCCGTCGCTCTCTATCCCCGTATGCTCCCCCTTTTCCTTTTCAGTTTTTCCTTTTCCTCGGCAGATCTCTCTTTTCTCTTCATTAGCCGCCCCACTCTCCTAAACTCTCCCTTTGCGGCTCTCGGCTCCCTATCCTTTTATATGGGGGAAGACAACCCTAAACCCTCACCTCATCTCTCCTATATTTGCAGCTAAAGGGGCTGCCCAGCCCCTCTTTGCAAGCTGAGTAGAAACGCGGCTTACATGCCGCGGTTTTCATTCTTTTTTTTTTTAACTTTTCTTAACTTTCAACTTAATAATTACAGAATTGATAATAACAAATTGACAAAAACCAGGTAATAATAATAATAATAATAATGAAAATAATTTAAAAACTAAACAACTAGAAACAACAAAAATGGCCATTTTTCCATCTTTTTTCTACATTTTTCTTTTTCATTGTTTTTTCTCATTTTTCACTTTTTCTCTTTCTTCTAAATGAATCAAACAACAATAAAAGATAAATTAAGTAGAAATGACTAAAATAAAGCTAAATAAAACAAAATTGCTATTTTTCCTTTTTCCTTTTTTTTTTCTTTCCAAGAAATTCTATGCTAAACTTAAAAATAAACTATAAACTAAAAACTAAAAACCGAATAAAAACTAACACGACTAATAAAAAAAAACTAAAAATAAACAATAAATGAAATTACACCAAAAATTTGGGTCTACAATGCATGATGCCATTTATTAAAACGATGTAAATATATGACAAATATGGCCTAAAAGACATAAATAATGCATCGGGGGGAAAAGGTCTAAAAATGAAATGTACTTATTGAAAATTAAGTGTAATAACTGAAATTTAAACATGTGAGTTATCTAGTGGGTAAGTCACTAAAAGAGAGCCAAAGAGGCCTCTTATTGCTAAGGCACATGAATGCAAGCAAAAAAAACAACGAAATGGTTAGTGCAATTGATAGTACACATAACATATTGGGAGCAATTAAGAAAAGAAATACAATAAAAGCATGTAAAAGGGGTGGAACCCTTTCCCTCGTGCCTAATGTGCTTAAAAAAGGTGAGACTGACTCTAACCTAGGAAAACTCTAACATGGATGCATGAGGCTGGGGCTCACTAATGCAACTAGACTCGATAAGGTTTAAAAAGGTCCCCAAGCCTTCAGACCTAAGGGAATGGGTCATCAATCCCAAGACCCTCGTCGGTGGCTCGAGCGATCCCCTAGGTACTGCTATGGCGCAGAGCACACCATCCACATACCTAGAGAAACCATTCCTAGTCCTACAAGGCGGTGTGGGAAAGAGCCCACGAAAATAAAATAAAATGGGATAACAGTAAATAAACGTGCACGTATGAAGTGTTCCCTATTTTGAGGGAAAGGGTTGAGACCCAACGCGAGGCTCTAAAGGTGACACACCTTTCCCCAAATGCAATGCAAAAGTGCGAGATAAAACAAGTAAAACATACATCCAAGCAACCAACCATACAAACGTAAGTGAGGGAGTAGTTTGATACGCGCGCGAGGCAAAAGGTCCTAAAATGGAAAATGCAACACTAATATCCAAATGCTATACATAACAAGGGTAGAAAACGTAAAAGAATAGCTAAATCAAATGCTTGGACCCACTTAGGAGTCCCCAGTGGAGTCGCCAAGCTGTCGCGCCCACTTTTGATGGTGTGAAAGTAGTGTGTAGGATATGTATGTGAACGTGTGTGAAAGTGAAAATAAAAGGCCGTGGGATTGTGAAATGCGACGGTTTGGCCAAGTAAAGGGTTTTAGATAGAAAAGGAGTCGCCACTTGGTATAGAGTTAGGGTGTACCAAGTCACCAAAAAGTGATTTTGTTTTTGGAAAGAAAAGTAAACAAACCCTTTTAAAGAATTTTTTTAGATCTACGTAACCAAAAAAAGGGATCGAGGGTCACATTTGTAAGGAAGAAGGCAAAGGCAAAGCCTAAGGCACTCCCTTACCCTAGCCAAAGCTAGTTGCGTGATTTAGCCCTTCTTTTTCTAATTCTTCTACCCAAAGTATGTGTTGCATGTTGGATGTGACTAATGGATGCGAAAAAATGCAATCCTAAATTTAAAATGTCTCTTATGAGACTTTTTGGTCCCAACCACATGAGTTGTGATGGCCAATAAGAAAAATTCTTATAGAGGTCACGAATAATGCAAATGAAGACTCAAGTATGTGTAAGTGTGCAAATGTAAGAAAAGTGCAAGTGTGCAAATGTAAGAAAAGTTCATGTGTGCTAATTGAGAAAATAAAGGTGTTTGTGTGCAAGTGGATGAAAATATGGTATATAATAGTAGTAAATATATAAGTGCATTTGGATGCAATTTGTGAGGTAGAAAATAAATAGGTGATAGGGAAAGAAAAATGTGCAAACATGACATGTGGATTGAGAAAAAAATATAAGTAGTAAAAAAAAATGTGGAAAGAAGGTGAGAAAGTGATATGATAAAAATGAGAGTGTATGAATCTAAAGGAATGCATCAAGTCGGGTACGGAAATGACTCCTAACTTCACGATTTTAATTTTCCCTTGATTAGAAGGAAGAACTAGCGTGCTAAGGCTATTTTGCAGCCACACTCACTTGTTTCCCTTACCGAAAAGGGACTCTCAAACAAATGTACCCTATAACTAGCATGAGGATGCAAAAACCTAAAATGAAAGGGAAGGGATTGGAGGAGCGTGCCAAATGCTAGAAAACTAAGAAAAATGCATGAAATGTAGTGAAACATGCAAGTTTGTACCAACGAGAGGGGACGGCCTATTGGGTCTAGCATTGGACTAGCCCTTTTCTAAAATTCTCTCACAAGCATTGACTTGCGAGAGCTCGAGGGAAAAACCATGACCAGCGTTGGACTAGCCACGTGACGCATTCATCCATCACATTCATCTATGACTATAGAAAGCAAGCAGACATGCCAATCACCTATAAACACGTAGCACATAACACTTAGCATGCTCGACTAGATGCAAGAGCCTAATAAAGCAAATTAACACGTAGCAACAAAAGCAAGCAATCAAGCTAATGAACCTATTACATTTGCTAACTAAAACAAATGGGGAAGAGGGAAAATGAATAAAAATGCTCTCCAAGCCCTATCTATTACAAGCCAAGAGGTGTACACATACCCTATAAAAGAAATTAATTTAATAAAAGCAAAAGTAAATGAAATAAATGAAAGGAATTAAGGAAAGGCAAGGAAAGCAAAGTAGACATGCAATTCTCACTTAGCACGTTGGATCACATAGAGGAGGGACAAAAAAGGTAAAAGAAAGTTATACCTCCCCGTTTGTGATGTTAGTAAAGTGAACAAGACTTAACTTGGACTAGAGTCACCAAAGAAAGAGATAACTTGGGCTAAAACCATCAAAGCAAGGGATTAATGCCACCACTTTAAAGATAAGTAGAATAAAAAGCAAAAAGGAAACTCAGAACACCTTAGAAACTTCAAAAGGGGTACTAACAAACCACCAAATTCTTCCCTAATTGTGACTTAAATGAAACAAATAATGCATAGCTTCCAAGAAAGGGACCCACCAAGGTCCCAATTGCAAACATTAATCAATCATTCGAGTCCAATCGAAATATTTAAGAACTTCACAGGTCCCAAAAAATAATAAAAGGTCAAGTAATGGTTCAAATTGCAATCAACTTAGGACTTAATTGCAAGAGATTAGCCATAATTGGCTCTTTGTAGCATAGACAGAAGCTAAGGGGAGCCAAGTGCAAATTTTGAAAAGCTGTTCATGCAAATCCATGCACGATCTCGAAGCTTAAAGCTTCTGCAGCCAAGAACAAATGCATACCGCTGCCCTTTCATATCAAAAAAGGATTCCAGACTTGATCCAAAATTATTTTACTTAGACTTCAACTTAAATTGAGCAACAAAACATACATATTGCATTTCCTTAAAGCAGGAAAACTCGAACTTGAAGCAGGAAAAGGAAAAACACAGAAACTCGTCTATACCGCTGCAGCAGACATTCTTATGTGCAAACTATAAGCGCAATGCGAACCAAAACCAGGCAATCAATGATTATTAAACATTCCCCCTCTGTTTTCCAACATAAAACCATTATATTTAAGCATCCGCCACTCATGCAAACGGATCATGCAAGCTGATATGAAAGAAAAGAAAAAAAAAAAACGTCCTTCCTCTGCTGCAACTTCCTGCTACAAAAATGCAGCTTGACCCACGCCGACATTATATGAAAAGGAAACAACGAAAATTTATTTTTGTTTTGTGAACTAGAATTCTCCTAAATCTCCAAATCACCCCTGTTAACATAACCCAAGTACCAAACTACCAGCAAACTAGGTGCATTCAAAGGCTTTCTACCATTTTATTGTCAAGCGTTCGGATTGTGACAGCTCCACCTCCCCCTAAGGCGAACCAAAGGGCTCGGCGGACCACCTGCCCAACTCTCGCCGGGACTCACTACAGTTCTCAAATAAAATACATCACTCACATCCAATAACATAGGGTACAACCTCAAGAAAAAACGAAATAACATTTTTCAAACTTAGAACGAGATAAGATACATTACAAATCTCAAGTAAGGGTATCATTCCCCGAATAAGACAAAAGTCCTCAGTTCTCATATAATTACATCAAATACTTATCAAGTGAATCGAATTCAAATTATATATGAGATATCCCTTCAGGCACTAATCACTCAATACAAACGCTTTCTTTGGCCTCGAGCCCTGTGGAAAAAAATATTTTTGGGGGTCACTAATTAAGCCTCAGAACTTCCACTTCCAAACCTGTTAAGGAAAACAAATTGGGGTGAGCTAACGCTCAGTGAGGCCAAGGGAAAAACATGCAAGCATGCTAGCAAAGACACAATATAAAGCAATAACTCGAGTAACAAGTAACTGCGAAACATTAAGCAATTAGGGAATTTAATCACAATAAAAGGATACGGGAGCTCTCAGGAGCTAATCCACACGCGATCCAAGCTCAGGTAGTTGACCCTCCGTCAACTTTCACAGTTATCCATGTAGAACTCCACTTACTACCTCCAGCCACCATGACACCCTCTTGGATCCGTAACCAAACAAGCATGTAGGTGGTATCACTTAACAAGTATACCTAGCAAGATCCCTTATTTGGATCAAGCTATAACACTTCCCAAGGTTCACCAAGTTTCTCGACCAAGCCCTTGCCGGCTCGAGTTACAAGGCTAGCCAATGGGTTGGGGCGTCCCCCCATTCACTTTTAGGTCGATGAGACGAAACTCCAATCGACAAGATTTGGTCATAGCATTGAGACGGGATGAGCGGTACCTCCTACCCTAAAAGGGCATGATACATTCTGCCGCTCAATGCTCACGAAAAACACTTTCATTTGCATTCACATGTAAACGTATCACTTATCAAGCAAGCAATTTCATGAAAAGAGGACAAGGGCGATAAAGTACGCCCTAGCCTCATTAACTAGCAAGTACAAGAATCATTTCATTTAAACACTTCACATGCACTTGATACTCACCAAGTATCAAAAGTCAAAGTTTGAGAAATTAGCTCTAAGACGCTTCGCCGGGAGTTCCCTCGAAGTCCTCTTGAGATCCTGAAGTATGCAATAATGCATTGTATCTCAAATTCCAGGCCATACAGTATTCGTGTAAAGAAAAGAAAAGTCAATTTTGACTCCAAATTCAAGTTTCCAAAGTATTTCAGTTCATAAGGAACCGACTTTCAAATGAGGTCTCAAGTGATAGGTGAACTCAAGTTCACCATGAAAATAGGTTTGAAATGCTCTAAGAGTTGTAAAAATGTAACCTAGGCCCTTAAAAGAACATTTAGGTCCAAATTGGAAATTTTCACTTTTCGAGTCATTCTTGGAAAAAAATCAGTCCGGAAGTTCGGAAAGTCTAAAAATGGAAAATTTTACACCGTCAAAAACTTCATTCGAAGCATAACAACTTTCAGAAGGTCACTTTCCAAGAATCAAATCAGAAACAAGTCAATTTCTCCAAGAAAGTTTACTATGCATTGAAGATAGGTCAAAACAGTCCAAGTTTTCCAATAATTTTGGAATTTCAAAATCATAGAATCAAAACCAGCCTTTGAAATTTGATATGCATGTAAATTTCCAATCCAGGTTTCAAATAAAAAAAAACGGAACTCGATTCCGATGTTCCTAGCTCAAGATAAAAAGTTGAAGTTCGCTAAAATTCCTGGACTGTTGGCCTTTCCAGAAATTTTCCAGATTTAATGCACTTCGCTAATTAGGCCGTATCTCACTCGATTCTCAGTGAAATTGAAAACGGTTGGTGGCTTTAGAAACTAGGTTTACAAGGTTATATTTGTGTAGAAGAAATCATTTCCAAAATCCAGACATAAGCGGTTCAAAATCAAGCAACAAAATGGATTTTCTGGACAGTCTCGGATGAACAGTAATAAACAGGCGACTTTCAAAACTCGCCACGAATCGCTCGGGATGAACTAGAAAATGAGCTTGGTACCATTTTAAAGCTCTAAGAGTCTACTTTCAAATGCCACAAATGGACTCCATTTCGATCAATGAGCAAAACGTTATAGCTACACAAATGTTGCTGGTCAGAAAATTCTGGAGCTTGTTCCAGTTTTGCTTCTTTACTTGTAACTCAAAATTTAACCAACCATTTTGGGTTGATTTTTGGTAGACAACCACAATACACATAGCACAACATATCTACACCAATTTGGAAGCTCAATTTGCACCAGAAAATTTTCGAAATTACAGGGCAGCAGCAAACAAGAAAGTCGGCAGCAAGTCAGAAATTTCAGACAGTACCTTCTCCAAATTTCTAACTTTCTTCCAACTTCATTCCATCAATCATTCTATATACATGTAACATAGCACAATATCAGCAACCAAAACATGTTAATTCATCAAATCAGCCACCAATAAGCATCCTCAACCCTCGAGCATGTCATGAAATTGCAAGAACATAATTACTCAACCAATCAACCAAATTCTACCATAGGTTGCAAACCCATGCTACCTTTGCTCCATTTGAGCTATAATTTTGCAAGATTGAAGTGTGGGTGAGTGAGTTACCTCAAGACTTAGTTGGACAGCTTTAGGCAGAAATCTTGACCGAAATTCCTCCAAGAAAACCGATGAACAGCCCCCTCTTCCAAGCTAGGATCAAAGCCCTCTAATGGATGATGAAATTTGGAAGTGGATTGAAGTAATTTTGTAAGGATTTTGGCTAGATTTTTTCTTTTTCTTCCATTTCGGCCAACAGAGAGAGTGAGAGAGGAGAGAGTGAAATCAGGTATTGTAATGAAAGTGGAGAGAATTGGTGACTTAATGGTTAAGTCTAAGTGTCAACTCATGCTAGGTCCGTTTAGGGTCTTCGCGTGTCCAATTTTCGCGCTCGTTTGCAACTTTTGTGCACTAAACCTCTGAGGTAATTTCCCTAGTACATTAATAGTACATTACTAGTAGTCTAATATCATGTTCTTAAAATCTCCAATTAATCAAATTAATGTGCCTGTCGGGGCCTTTTCGGCACGCGCGCGTATAAAGGTCAAACTTAAGGGTTTTCTCGTTTGAACTTGGAAATTCAACTTATTCGATTCTAAAACTCTAAAATATGATAATCCAAGATATATATATATATATATATAATAATAAAAAATCACGATAAGCAATTCATCTTGAATAAATTTGGGCATTAAAATAATATACGCGTAAAGAACCAATCGTAAAATTTATTTTCGAGAAATTCATGTACTTTAGTATTTTATTTATTTTTATTTTTTTTGGGTAACTCGAGTACGAAATATTTTTAAAATGACCAATTTAACAATATTTTGAAATAATAAAATTATGGGTCCTCACATCCTCTCCCCCTTAAGAGAATTTCGTCCTCGAAATTCATACCTTAACTCAAAAACTCCAGATGTCACTTTTGCATCCCACTCTTACGAATTGTAAAACTTATTCCGCATTAAATATCACGTAAGTCTTGTATTCTTAATCTGTTCACGACGAGCGAGATAACAATTCCTTCATGCGGTTCACAGATTCAATTGCCTTAAGAAATTTGTCAATTCAAGAACAAATGATGTAATAGCCCTTTAAATTGGTATACGCAATGAACTTTAAATATCTCGCAGATCAAATTCGATAAGATCTTATTAGCACACAAGTTTTGTCCTACTGGACCTTAACCCTAGTAATCTTTCAAAATAGATAGTAAGAGCCCTCAAGAATCAATAACTTCAAAAATCATATCTGGTTCCGTATACATGTATGCAAATATCGAAGTACGAAATGAAACCTTACATTCAATAATATCTTATTGTAGTCCCCAAGTCATTTATGAGTATTACTGCCAATTTTTAACCCAAATACGACTTAAAGACCCAAATCCATTAATGCTACTGTGTGTATTCATTACTCCCAATGGCATAATTGAATTTCAAAGTGCTTACTTTTCTGATGAACTAGCCTTAATCACATCTTCCTCTAGAATCCTCAATTAGTTGTAGTCCTGTATTAAATCTAACTTGGAAAGTACTACTGTCTCTTGTAGATACTCAAATGATTCATTTATGCAAGGTAAAAGATATTTATTCCTAATACCCACTTGATTCCAGCCTCGATATTATAGACATGGCCTTCTCACAAGGTTATAAGCGTAACAAAATTTAGATATACGAATAAGTCATGAAATTGATTAAATGCAAAGTAAACTTTCATTTGCTATAAAAGACCATAATAGTTTCATCAAGTTAGGATAATTTATCAAATCATTTCAAAAGAAAAGGGAATAAACAAGATTGTAGCAAAACATGCTAAGTCATCCATGTTCAAAGCAACAAAAGATTTCATCCCTTACACAAAAGATTACAACCTTCAAAAGTCTCAGTATAGGCTAGGTTATAATCATAATCCCTGTCCTTAAGCAAAGTCAAATCCATCTTCACTCGTAGAGCTTCTAATACTTTGGTTCTTCTCATAGCCATTAGTATTAACCACTCCCTCTAACACTCGACTGTTTTGCAGCAGACTTAACGAGCTGCTGAGGAGTTCCTCGGGCAACTTAAAACTTAATGCTCAGGACTCCCGCATAGCAAGCATTTCCTTGTTTCCTTCAGCCCATAATCTCAGTGTGATTAAACTTGCCACAGTATCCACAAGTTACTCTACAAGTTACGGCCTGATTAGCTTGAGAATTCTCCTTTTTCTTTTTCTTCTTTTCTCTCTGCTCCACAACAAATTCATGTTCACATCTCTCTTTACGTTTCCCTTTTTTCATTATGGGAGTTTCCTTCACTACCCTTAACTTGGTTGCTAGAAATATACTGAGGTGAAACTTGAATAGTGGGTCGCATCCCCTCGAGTTTTTTTTTTTTCCTGAAGTTCCTCCAATACTCCTTCGTATTTCTTTTTCATTTCCAATTTCTTGTTCCATAATTCCATCTTCTCTACAAACTCTTGTTTGCATCGTTCTTCCCAGAATTCAACCAATTTAGTCTGGAATTCCAACTCCTTGCGAAGAACTTCTATTTCTATACGCATCTCTTCCAAACTTTTCATTTCATCCATTTGCTTAATCCTGACTGTCAGCCTATCAACAACTCAAAGCATCTAAATGAGTAGCAAATCAAAATTTAAAACTTAACTATCCACAACCTATAAATTCTCACGCATCTAAGTCATCCAGGTATATTTACTCTTACCTCTCCACGAATTTGATACGTAAGAAAATCCACACCACAAATAAAGTAATACCCCTTGATATAATGATATGTACTTCCGTTCTAAGGTCTTACTCACGTATGTAGTGAAACCATAAATTACACGCCATAAGAAACAAGTTCCAAACCTTGACTAAAAACTGTTACGCACTAGTAGGACCAGAATCCTTTTCCTCAAAAGTTTGTCTAAATCAAACCAATCATGACCTACAAGATAAAGTCGAGACTTTTGATGTATTTTGAATGTATCTGTGGCAAAATGCGATTCAAAATTTTCAAAATTAGAGTTAAAGATACAAATTTTCTTCATGATCCAAAACTAAATTTTCTTAGTAAGAGATTTCAAATAATGTTTAACCACAATCATCAATACATATTTCAAATCTCTCAAATAGATTTAAGAAGATTAATCATGCAACTTAATGCATGAATTTTAAAACATACATATAATAATCATAACATATACATGGAGGGTGTTCCAACACTTTTCCTCAAAGTTTCGAGTTAAATCTATGTTCGGGTAAAGCGTATATTTTAGAAAATACCTTTAAGAAAGATAAATAGACATGTAGGTTCATATTCGCATAACCTGTGATCCAACACCTTTACCACCCTTTTATATCCAAACCAAGAGCTAACTCTACTAGTACATAAAGCCCGATCATTTCTAATCTCTGATTCATAACAAATAGGCATTCATGTTCCTAAGAAAAGATTCGAACTTGAACTCTATCTGATTTCGATTCTCAAACGAGTTCAAAATGTGTATACATATATATAATATATATAAATTTTGTGAAAAAGTAAAACAAGTGAATCTGGGTATAGTAATAGTCAAGTAAAATTGAAAGCGCTTTTGTTCAAGTAGAACAAATAGGTAATGAGTTCAAGTCATCTCACCAAACCAACGAAATACTTTCGGAGTTCAAACTTCATAAAAGTTGAAAGATGGCCATAGGACCACTCATAATATACGTATAAAGCAACTATTAAAATTTCGCACAGGAAAATCTCACTAAGTTCCCAACTAGGTTAATCCATTATACACTGGTAGATCTAATCTTCTGGTTTATTCTCGATTCATATTCAGTACTAGGGTCTCATTAAATTATATAAGACTATCCATCAATTTTCTCATGAGTACGGGTTGTCTAACCCTAGGCCACGACCCCTTTTTCCCATTCCTGCCTATACTTAATAGAAGTCTATAAGCACAAGAAAAGGAATAATTAAGCATAAAAGAACTTAATGCATATACAAGTTGCAAAAATATTTAGAATCAAAACATGCTTCTTTACATGTATCAAAAGTTATAGCACGAGTTAGAAGTCACAAAACAAGCCCAATATGTCAAATACTGCATATAGGCAATTAAGTGCCACAAAATATAGAAGTATATGCAAGCAGGATACAAAAGGCCTCACGGCGTGCACCACCCTTCCTAAGTCCATAGTTAAACCAAAGGTCCAAATATCACTAATTTCAATCAGATCACATGCCTTTACGAAATTAGATCCAATCAAACCATAACACAAGCTGAAACCAAAGGTTATCCATTCGAAATTCAAAATCTTTAATAAGCAAGCCACCAGCCAGAGCACCATCATCTCCAAGAATAACCAGTCTTAGGGTTTTATAGTTAAAGCCTCAAGCTCCAAGTTCAAACCCAAGAAATAGTACAACTTGCTAACTTACGTGTCAAATGGAAACCAAGTCAATTCACACTAACTTCGTGCTCTTGAATGCGGTTACTCTATATCTCAAAGTTCCTTCAGCCCGTACACCTAAAGATAGGCTCACTCTTCTTGAAAACCAAGAATTTTAAAACATAAGAAGAGTATTTAAAGTAACCAAAAATCTTATCAAGTTCAAGATTTACATTATAAAAACATAAGTTCGCCATTCTTCCGAAAACTCAAGATTTTTTTTTTTTTTGTAAAGCATAGACAAATTCAAGTGTGAGAATACACCAGTATACAATCAAGGGGGAAAAACTTAGTTTAGAAAATTTTAACCTTGTATCAGCCCATCATATACAAAATTCAACAAACTCATCAGTTATTCACAAATTTTCAGATTGAAATTCAAGTAAAATTCACATATTTACCAAAATCGAAAATTATACATACTTAAAGCATATATATATTATTTCCAATCATCGTTTGAAAATAAAACTAGTACATCCTCGTTTTTCT